TCAGCGTGGTTACCGCTCAGACGTAAACAGAAACGATCTTGAAACTCCGTATGCCTTTTTCGTTTGAATATGGTTTTGCTCGTGAAATGTACGGTGCAACCATTTTGCCTTATATTTCCACCACATGCGCATCACTAGTTGTTGATCACCGGCTAGCGAGTTGCCTCGTTTATAGAGTGGATTATAATCACAGTAATAATAATTAATGGTACTAATAATATATCTCCCGAATGGACTTGGCGCATGTCATCATAGATTTCACCGCATTCACCAATTTTGCGCGCATTCCAGCTTTCACCAGAAACGCTGCTATTTTACTTCCATCGCTTTTCCTCCAAACCGGTGTAGACTATATATATATATATATATATATATATATATATATATATATATATATATATATATATATATATATATATATATATATATATATTCAATGGACATCGTGCCATCTAAAAACATGGAATGAAGGTGTATGATAAGCACTCACTGTGATATATAAATGCCGGCTCCGTTGTTGAGACGTGACTCCTATCCACTTGCCTTCCGGTCTTATTCCTTCGGGTTTACACTGAAAATGGGGTGTGTGCTTGGAGCTGTGGTTGATGCAGCGCAAGCCACCCATGCTCCGTCTGTAGGCACAGGCGTCCTGTGGCTGGCCACAGTGACAGGCCAATCCGGAACTGGATGCTGCTAACCCCATATATATATATTCGCGGCAGTCTATACAATCGACATCGTACGATCTAAAAACCATGGGATGAATGTGCCTAATAAGCACAAAAATTAAAATAAGGAAAGAGTACAAATGGACTTTTTGGATTTTCCACACTCTGTTTAGTTTTTGTTACCAGTTTATAGATTACGGTGTTCATCATTAGAATCAGTGCAAGAACGCATGCATGGTTTTCGTTGCTCGCGAATATGCGCCATGTCCTCAAATGTTTCCAACCAGCGAAGTTCTTCTTCTCTGGCTCCCCAGCCCGGAAGACGTACGGGGCCGACAACAGCTAGACTGCAAGTCAGCGCCTTTACGTTCTGTCGCCATGTGTTATGTTGGCCTCCGCGCGATCTCTTCCAAGGCGACCCTGCGGCAGTGAATAGACTGCGCCATGGTAAACGCACGTACGGCATGCGTAGGACGTGACCAAGCCACCACAGTTGGCGCAGCGATATTAGCTTGTCAATAGGTAGGCCCGTATAACCTAGGACTCGACGTCCAAGATCGATGTTGCTAACATGTTTCCACCGCACACAAACTATCCTGTGCAGATAACTGTTATCGAAGGCCGAAATCCTACGCAAATCATTTACACGAATTGGCCAGGTCTCGTTTCCGGATAACAGGGCCACGCGAACACACAATGAAACTTCACCACGACGTGACAGATGCCTCTGATCAGCGAAAAGTGATCGTGCTTTGTCACTACGGAGTGAATCTCCCTTTCAATGGTGCCATCGTAAGAACCGCAGCTTCCAAGGTAGATGAAGCTATCTACTTGTTCAAGGTACTCGCGTTCAAGATTCAACGCAGGGCAGGTGCATGCCAATCCTTGAGTTGGACCTTACATTTCGATGGGGAGAATGTCATGCTGTACTTGGTAGCTTCAAGCACCAAGCGGTTTAGACCGATCAGCATGATCTGTGGGTCGTCACCGAGCAAAAATTATCCAAGTCAGTCGCGCGGTTGCCTGGAAGAAGCTCTACGCCAGAATCCTAGAGACCTTACAGAGCACTTAATAAGACTTCAGTCGCAAAGTTGAAGAAAAACGGGGGCGTGGGGCATCCCTATCGCACACCGCTGGTGACGGCAAAAGAGAAAGAGAGCTTACCGCAAGCCCTCACTCTACCAGAGACATTGTTATATAATCCCGAAGTATGGTGGTATACTTTTTCGGGAACCCCATTCCTTTGCAGACAACGCCGTTGAGCAGACCGGTCCACCGGATCGAACGTAGCTCGGATGTCTGAAATAGCGACAATGGTAGACTGGCATTAAAAGTAGTGCTGCTTGAGGAGTTGGCGGAGCATAAACATGCCATCCACACACCCTTCACCGGGGAAGGAACCTGCCAGATCCTTACGGGAGTGTAGTTCTCGAATCGGTGTTAGACTGCGCAGTAGAATGGACGTTAGTAATTTGGAGGCGATGGATATAAAAGACTGATTCCTGTGGATATTAGACTCATTCCGCTGTGGTTGGCGCATGAAGTACGAGCACCCTTTTTAAATATGTGTACAATGGTCGACTCGCCACAAAATGACGGAATAATAATAATGTGTCAGCTGTACGCCGTAACGGCACTTCGCTGCCTTGCGACTACCACCAGTCGCACGCGGGCCGAGTATAGCGCGTGGACGCCTACTCTTACGCGGATTCCGACCCGCGCCGCAAGATTACGAGACATGAGAATGGAACTGTTTCTTCACATCAGATCTTCAAGAACAGTGCTGTTAACTGGTTGACAACTGCCTTGCCACCATGCTTGAACAGCTCCGGAGGAAGTCCGCCCGCTTCAAGTGACGTAGCTCAAGACAGACCTCGGCGGCTTGTTCCAGTGAAGCGTTCCAAGGCACGCAATTTGGCTTGCATGTTTGATAGGAGTAAGTAGAAGGCCAACTGAATTCAGTGACAGTGCTCAGCCCAGCGGTCCATGCGTCTGCGCAAATTACTGACTGATGATCCATCATACTTGCAAATGGCTTCACTGATGCCTGGTATTCTGTGCTTGGTGGTACGGAAGATTTGAAAATGGTTGCGATAATCTCCAGAGTGAGTTGCTGTCCGTATCTCCGTAGCGCGCTGAAACCACGGAGTTTCGCGATCGTTGCACAGACTTTGCTATAGTTGTCGGCTGAGGATGCGGCGGACTTCTCTACAGCTTGAATCAGTTGAGATAGCTCGACGTCGGTCAAATAGTTCCAACAAGTGAGCAGCAATCCAGCTTCTCGTAGGACTCCCAACGATTCCACAGAATTATTTCCCGAAAGAAAGCAACGCCTGCAAGATGTTCGACATCTGTAGGTGCAGCGTGTTCGGGCGCATCTGATAAGGAGGATTGATAGGCCAGTTGAATGGAGGGTTTAGCTACCCTGTTGGTATTCAGCGTACAGTGCTTTGGTTTCAATGAACCACCAAAGCGCATGCAAATGCCCGCACAGACCAGAGCGTGATCTGAATCGAGGTAGGTTGACTAAATTGATCTGCAATCTCGTACACTTCTTCACCATCCGAAGCTGCTTGCACTGTGATCAATTTGTGACCGCCCTTTTGGTGGCGAAGGGGGACGCCAAGTGGCGGCGCGTCTCGAAGTTCGTACTCGCGAGAAAGCGCCTGTTGTTCTCACGTAAAGTGAGAAGTCTATCTCTGTTATCATAACAGATCTCATCAATAGCATGACGGCTACCAAGATGACGTTCGCATGGCAACTGGCGATCGACCCGCGCATTGAAATCTCCTGCAAGAACGATGATGTGAGATTTTTCGGCTTTACTCGGAACTTCGTGGAGTCCGCAATAAAAGCCGTCCTTAACCGATGCACCACTGCAGTATTTTGGATCGTAGGCTGAGATCACAAACAAATTGCGTCTCTCTGTACGGTGCTTATTGAAGTCGAACCGCACACAAGTGACTACTAATCGGGAACCAATCCAGCAATGACGCCTGGGGTTTGTCACTCCATGCAATGCCAACACCAGCTGCAGCAGCCACTGTGTCAGCAGACAAATGTAGGGAATGTTTGGTCCTGAGATCAGTAGGGGACATCAAGTTAACCACCGTGCTGGAGTCTTGTAACCGAGTCTCAAAAAGACTACCATGTTTGCGCTAGGCCGGCTTGTCCGAGCTGCATCAACGTTCTAACGTTGAAGGCCTCCAGATAAAATGGAGATCGCGAATGAAGGAGGACCACTGGTCAAACTTTTTGGACATGGGCGAGATTGTCATCAGAGGTAGCTTCAAAGGAATTATTGGTGTAGATAGGATTGGCTAATGATTGAGGTGCATCAGCAGTCAGGAGGTTAGGCGAATGACGTAGTAGAAGTACATGTGAGATTTGTAAGCGAGCAAGGTACCATCTGGTTGCCCAACTCTAGCTAAAGTGTCAAGAAGGCCACCATTTCGATCTGGAGAATGTAAAGATCCTAGCACATGGAGACACAAAACACACAAGGGAATTTTTTAAACACGGTACTCTACAACAAATTCAATCAATCGACACATTGAACTAGACGCAGTATACGCAACACTACTGGCGAACGACCGCCAACTCGATCAATTGAATCCGGTGGAACCTGTGACTAGACAACCAGAACTGACGGCAGACTCGCTTGCAAGAGCAAGCAGACAAAGGCCACGAAACACGAGGAGTCAAAGTCAAAGGTCATCTGCCCATCAACCAAGCTGAAAGCGGATCGAACTCCCAACCAGTAGAATTGCTCATCTCCACGGCCAATTACGGTGGTATAAAAACGCACGCACACCACGCTCAACGCAAGCTCACCGAGGCTCCTCTGCGCTGCTGCACGCAACTCAACTACGCACGGATGATGTCACCTCGATTAGTGACGAAACGTTTTCAACAAAATTGCCGAGCTCAGCGAACAGTTCAACCACCATCTGAACAACCTGAGCTACCAGTCTTCAATTCTGTAGAGATTTGTCTTAGGTGACCGATAGATACACTATATCCGGCTCAGACGTATCCTGCTGCCATCAGTCACAGCTCACGCTCTTTTCACCGACTTGTGTTCTTCGTTTGCATTATCAAACGGCGTTTCGTCTTTGACGTAATTTTTTTGTCTTATTCGTTGTGCATATGCGTTTGACTGATGGCAAATGCGGCATAATTGCTTGGATAGCTCACGCGAACGCTTGCGTGATGTTTTCCATCTAAGTCTGTGTGTGTTCTCTCTCTTGTCGGGCGTCACATCTTTATAGTTTACATCACCGTCGGATCTCCCAATCTGCTTTTCATGAACTCTTTTTTCTCACCGCTCAGATCTTTGTTTGTTCTCACACGCCTCATGCACTCTTTGGGTGCGGGTACCTTCAGTCAGGTGGTCCAACACGTGGCAGTTGGCAATCAGTTGGTTGTGCAACCTCTAGACAACAATTTACTTGGATGCCTTGTTGTGAATGCGGTGTCCAAACTGCTTCCTCGAGGTTGTCTGAAACAGGTTCGTGTTTTGTGGTTTTTGATCTACTCTGTCACCAGCATCTCCTTGTGGAACATCACCAATAGAATCGTCTCGCATTTAATTCCAGATTCTACTCAGCTCTGAGTATTTTCCACCGTTTCGTTGCAATTTACTAAGCCTCACAGTGGACGCCGCTCCCCCCGATTCTGACTGGAATCCCGGTGATCACGTGCTATTTCTAGCTGCATTTCTAGGTCAGTCTGCTTCGCAGGCTGAGCTCGCTGCCCCCGATGAAAAATTTGTGCATTCCGTAAGTCATCAATTGGCTTTTGACATTTGTGCTCTCGATGCAAGTTCGTAGTTCAATTTTTCATTCACCTACATCGTGGTATCTAGTTTTTCACTTCATGAAAACACCATTCGTCAAGCAGATGCGATTCGTATGTTCTTTTTTTCCAGTTTAACTCCAGTCGCAAATATTGCCTAAACCTTCCTTTTATGCTTCCAATTCATCAATGACACATGAGCGACCACCCCCTGCTGCTTCCCGTAGCATCCTGCTTTGCTTTCGGTCAGTCCACACCTATTGGTCACCATTTGCCTGCGTCCTATTTTCTTTTAATATTGCCCCCTTATCCTTTGCTTCTGTCACACTTTTTCAACCTTTCGATTAGTTACAAGTACGACTGTGTCCTACCATACCGTCGGCTGTTTCGAACCTGAAATCTATCATTTCATCATCTGCCGGTGCGACCAATCCTTCCTTGGTGAACATCAACGCGCCCGTCAGCACTTACGTAACGCGTGTGTTAAGCTTGTTGAGTATACAACCGCCTTTGCCCCCATCTACCCTGGACCTGGCCTTGTCTGCGCTGCGTCAAGAATGGATCAATCGAGCGCACCTTTTGTACTCATTCAAACGATGTCAAGTAAGTTTCGTGTCTCTGTGTATCTGATCATATCGTGTTGTGTGGCTCTTGCGATTTTCTGCTGACAACACCGTGGTGCTAAGAGTGTAAACTTTTCCGACTACGATCATCCACATCGGGGTTTCCATCCGCAGAATAATCGCTCAGATGGAGGTTCAGATACACACGTCGGTACGGAACCGACCTCATTTGTTGTTAGTCTACCCAACTCCACTTCTCATCGTGTGTTTAGCCTACGATACCCAATCTCAAACTAGACTTTGGCTTACTATGAAGGGAATCTCGTTCGTGGCTAAAATTAGATATTTGTGGGGGGGGAGGAGAACTTAATGAGGCATGTGACCTCCGTAGAACTTACCATGTTATCCAAGATATATTTCGTAACTGAAACCGTCCAAATCCGTTTCGATGTTCTAATTCTCAGTAAGGAGCCACCTCTGGCGCCTAAAGCGAAAAATTCTCTGGAACAATTCAATTGTCCTCCTGCAGTACTGAATCTCTTCGTGCTCAGTTGACGCAGATCGAGGCATCACCAGCTTGTTTACAAACTCCATCTGAGGCTATGGCTGTGGATGTGACCGTTATTCTCACTTGTCCCTATGCTACCGGTCAAAATTTTCTGATCCTGTTGCTCAAATCAAGCCAGAATAGGCGTTACGCACCCAACTGGGTGCATTATATCAGCGTTTATACTATCACTGCGGATACATTAAATGAATGTGACCAGTTCAAAATACATAAACGCAGATTGGAGAATTAAATAGTCAAAAGCAGGTGGATATCATTCAGGCAACCTCCATGTGCAAAGCATTTGTGGTTTTCTTCGGGTCTACAAGAAAACGTAACAAATAAGGTCAGATTGTGTTACCATGCGAAGGAGTGCGAGAGCATAACATATTAAATTTTATACGTGTGCAGCAAGGGACAGGTAACGTTCTTGAGAGCGTATTATGTAGCGGATGAAAGTGCTCACTTAGAACCTTAGAATAAAAATTCATGTAAGCGCCAAAATGCTTACGAATAATAAAATCAATTCGGGAATCTCTAAGCAAGGCGCTACATCTGGAAATATATTTGCTCGATTGCACAATCAAAATTAAGTCCTTTTGCAGTAGTCTAAGGAAGAATCCCTGGGAACAGTACAAGCAGTGAGGTTGTGTACATATAGTTACATATCTCAAAATAAAACAGCGCCATGACAAGCTTTTTACGCCAGAAAGCAATAAAAGATAACCTGACCATGTGCAATGTTTCCAAAACGTGTGTGAACCAAATAAGGTTTTGGAACAAATATACACCGAGATATTTGACAATGGATGAAATAGGCATTTTTTGTCCTTTGAAGTTAGTGGAGGAGAGTCATCTAACATTACTCACAACTCATCAGGGCGAAGTGAAAACGTTACGTCAGTGCTTTTCAAAGCATTAAGGTTATGGGACCTGGAAGATAAGCAACTCACAACTTCGTCTGAATAACTTTGAGACCTAGACATCTCAATGGAGGGAACCCTATACCTTAGGACAACATCCTCCGCATATTTACAATGAATATTGATGTTATGGAAGACTCAACATATATGCCACACTAATTTAAATTGCACATTTTGCAAACCACATTTGACGTTTTGCAAACCAAATTGCACGTTCTGAAAACGGAATTAGACACATTGCATTCTAAGCAGAAAATCAGCAATTCCCTGACAAGAAATGAAGAGTAAGGCGACTAGACGAAGTGCAGGTTACGTTATGCCAACACAACCGAAGTGTGTAAACTGCGAGTTCCACCGTAAACACTTCTTTTGATCATGAACCTCGATCACCTTGATCAAACCTGGTGATTAAATTTCTCCCTCCCTCCACATCAGCATTCGCGTAGTTCATGTGCCTGTGCCTTTACGCATGAACATGTGTAGTTGTGGGACTATTGGAAAGTTAGACTCCCCAATCACGTAGTCTATTTTGACATAAACAAATGTTATGTAGCTTTGGAGGGTCATTGTGAAGCAATCGTTTTTTGAGTGGATTGCGATGCGCAATCTCAATGTGGGCAGCGATTCCCAATTAAGTAAACTTTGGCCAATTCGCTTACCGGAACCGTAACTGATGTAGCAGATAGGCGGTGACCCAGTAGTTCCCTGTCACTCTATCGGCCTTCGCGTATTTACTGTGGGTGTGTGGACGAACCTACGCAGCTCTTGGTCTAATGGAACGGTATAGTCGATCATGACTCCGCCAAACCCACTGTAGCTGTATTAGCCTTGTGCTGCAAAAAAATGACAATCACCCACTGTTTACACAGTTCTGTTGCCTCCGCGTAAGCACAATGTGGCCGGAATATCGTCTAGTCGCCTTATTCCCTTTTCTTTGATAACAAACTGCAGCAATAGGCCAGCAAAGCCAGACTGGGTTTGGTGGAGTCATGATCGACTATACTGTTCTGTTAGGCCAACAGCTACATAGGTTCGTCCACACACCCACAGTAAATACGCGAAAGCCGATAGAGTGACGGGACTACTGGGTCACCGCCTATTTGCTACATCAGTTACGGTTCCGGTAAGCGAATTGGCCAAAGTTTACTTAATTGGGAATCGCTGCCCACATTGAGATTGCGCATCGCAATCCACTCAAAAAACGATTGCTTCACAATGACCCTCCAAAGCTACATAACATTTGTTTATGTCAAAATAGACTACGTGATTGGGGAGTCTAACTTTCCAATAGTCCCACAACTACACATGTTCATGCGTAAAGGCACAGGCACATGAACTACGCGAATGCTGATGTGGAGGGAGGTAGAAATTTAATCACCAGGTTTGATCAAGGTGATCGAGGTTCATGATTAAAAGGTGTTTGCGGCGGAACTCGCAGTTTACACACTTCGGTTGTGTTGGCATGACTATAACCTAACCTGCACTTCGTCTTCATTTCTTGTCAAGGAATTGCTGATTTTCTGCTTAGAATGCAATGTGTCTAATTCCGTTTTCAGAACGTGCAATTTGTTTTGCATAACGTTCAAATTGGTCAAATGTGTATTGCAAGGTGTCCATCTTGTTTTGCAAAATGTCCAAAGTGGTTTGCACAACCTCCAATTTAAAGTGAACATGTTATAAAGAGAATAAAATGCCTGAGAATATTGCACCTTGCATAGTGGCACAGCTAGCGCGGAGCATTGAGGAGCATTTGTCGTTTAACTGAGTGAAATAGGTGCACAAAATGTTGCAAACATCAAGGGGGACTCGGTTCAAATAAACTAGGCTGTGTAGCACAGATATGTCAAGTCTCCCGAAGGCATTTGAATAGTCTCGGAAAAAGAGCCTGCACTTTTATCCAGTGCAGACGCTATTAAAGACACAAAGTACGAGACGGCATCCTGCGTAGAGCGCTGGGGTCTAAAGGCAAACTGATAGGCATCATCAGCATGATTAGCAGTGGAAATCCTCGAGACCACTAACTTTTCTAGGACTCTTAAGAGCACGGCTAAGCAGGCAATTGACTGATACTTCTGAGATTCATTTTTTGAATCTGGCTTATTTCCAGATGTCGGGGATGACACAGGTCGTGAGACACTTGATAAAAATATCAGTCAGGGACAGTGTGAGGGAACCGACGCAGTGCAACAAAATCACAGGTACTAAACTATCATGGGCACTAGATTTACTAGACTTTAGTTTTTTTGAATTCCCTAAATTCACCTTGTTCAGATAGGGCAAGTGGGCCTGGGCTAGCGAAGGGGAGCAATGGAAAAGCACTCGGCGAAGAATCACTGAACTCAGAATTGGGTTTGCCAACATCTACTATTCCAGCGCAACCGATGGTAACTGTGCCATAGATTTGCTTCATCACTCTCCAGGAATCACGACAGTTACGGTTTCCCAATAATGTTTCAATGTACAAACTGCTTAACCTTGTTATTTAAGCTTTAATTACCAAGGCTAGACTTTTGATGCTGGTGGTCATTTGGAACTTGTATTTTCTTTTTTCCTTCGTAGTTGGTTCAGCAGGGTGGAGAATAGCTGTCTGCTCGTAGGTAGATCGTCTCGATGGGTAGTGTAGGTGAAAGCAAACTTTACGTAACTCGTGAGATGGTCGCATTGAATCCATAGGTCTTAATCTATAAAATTACAAAATTGCTTAAAGTAGACGTTGCTTGAAGTCATGCGATATTTTCCGCTGCGAAATTACCATGTTGGATAATTTTGAAAGGTCGTTTCGGCAGTGTAGCATAGCTAGTTCTACTGTAGATGATAGGGGGCAAATCTTTATGATACAATGGTCCGAGTGGCTTAGTGGTGTATGCTTTTGAATGGGAAACAATCGAATTTTCTTTGTATATGCTACATCAAGCTATGCGTCTTGTCTGGTTGGGATAATTACCAAATTTGCCACATCAAGTGACTTTAAGAAAATTTTTATCACATTTATTAAAATCTCTGGCAACAATACAGGCAAGCATTTTAGTTTTGGCAGGAATGCCGAGGAAACTTGGTGTCTCAGGAGCAATGTAGAAATTTTCATTGACGGCCGATTGAAGGTCACTGAGAAACTTAGACTTACATCCAAGCAAAATGACAGCTTATAGAGGTTGTAAAGTGAATAGCTGTATTACTGATTTGGTTAACCTATGTGATGACGCCGCCATCACGATTCCTTGGCTAGGCTGGGCGATCGGACCTAATTGCTCGGTATCCACTGTTGTTAAGGATTCCATCGTCGCTATCTGAGTGCAACCGGCTTTGTTGCAACCTACTAATAGCTGTGTTTGTATATTCCTTTCGCTTCATAAGAGGTGTGAACTCAGCAATTTTTCCCAGAAATGAACGAACCTTACTGGGGAGCATGTGTGGTATTTGCATTTTGCCCAAAGGACACTGCCCAAGACCAACTTTTCCATCTGCGCGATGTTTTTTCATGGTGCCAACATGTTCTCGTTTAAAATTGTTTCTTGCTTTATGACCGTAATCGACAAAATGATTTTTAAATGCGGCGCTTCAATGTGATTTCAAAAATCGGTGGAGTAGGATAACATTGGTAACTGGGAAGTAGTCCAGTTGAACCAAAATGGTAGAAAAATCTACAGAAGTTATAAGCGCAGTAGATAACGTTAAATAAATGATGTTCGGTAGGTAACAGCAGGGGTCAATTTGTTGGCCTCGCCTTAGCTTTTTCTGCAGGTCACTGATCTGTACAGATGGGTATGGGATAAGGGGGTTTCTTCACCAAACAGGCTCTTAACCGGCGTCGTGAGCTTGTTTGCTGTCTGCGTTAGGACCCCCAAGTTCGCTGCATTTGGCTGCTTTGAACCCAACCGCTTTGATTGGCTGTTGAAGAAGGCGAGGATTGGATCACTAGTTTCAGAGCCGCAATTTAAATTCTTCACAGACAATCGGAATTATGACTAAAATCCTGACCACCTCAGTTACTCGGCCAAGCCTACTGATTACTGAGACCAAGCACCAGTTTCTGGTGCAGTTCTTGGAACATCTGACACTGGCGTCATAATCTCATGGTCTTCCACGTACCGGAGTCAAAAGATGAAAACCCTCAGATACGTTATGATCACGATGTTGAGTTCCTCCAGGGGCTCATCGATAGACTCTTGGATGTGGGCGAGGACAGTGTGACGATTAAACAAGTAATCCGACTTGGCCAGAAAACTAACCAGTCATGTCGACCTCTGAGGATCACTTTTGCAAATCCTAATATGCCGCACCTCATACTGTCTCGTCTGTCAAGGCTGAAAGGCATAAAATTTCACATCCGCCGAGATTTGGAACCCGAGGACAGGGATCGTTTGAAGACTGCGGTCATTGAGCTCAAACGCCGTACAGAGGAAGGTGAGACTGACTTACAAGTTGTAAATTTGCGGGTGATCAAGAAGGGTGTACGAACCCGTATCAATCGGTTGCTCAACCTCCAGGCACGTCCCGCAGTACCTCCCAGGACCTCCGTGTCGCATTCGCCAACGTGTGCAGCCTAATGAACAAACGTGACGAACTGTGCCGCTTCGCTGTCTCGGAGCGGCCGGACATTTTAGGACTTGCAGAGACATGGCTGAACTCCGACATCATACCCCAAGAAGTCGTGTTGTCAGGATACTCTTGTTTCCGATGTGACCGAAATTCAAAGGCTCACGGTGGTGTTCTGTTGTACATAAAATCGTCACTATCTGGCAAACTTATCAGAACCTATCGGAGCGAGGATAGTTTATGCGAGCAATTGTGGTGCACAATCCGTCTCAGGCGCGCAGAACTAATTGTGGGGGTTATCTACCGGAGCCCATTAAACCGTTGCTGCGATTGGATACCACATGTACAGAAGCACATGAGCCGCCCTCAGTTCTTACTGATGGGGGATCTAAATTTACCTAAGATAATTTGGCCAGATGTTCGACTTCTTCCCGGTCATGGCAATGTTGAGGCTCAATTCGCTAAAATGACTATTGAAATTGGGGCAACGCAACATGTCATCCAACCGACGCGCGTAACTCCGTACTCGGCATCTTGTCTGGACATAATGTTTACGAGCTGCGAGCAGAAGCTAAAAGAGATCAGAGTCATCGAACCTCTGGCGAACAGTGATCACTGCTCTATTGTAGCAAGCTTAGAACTGTCGTTACCATATTACAATCAACAGAAGCCGACATTCAACTATTGGAAGACGGACTTCAACGGACTCGTCCAAGCCGCAAGTCAGACTGATTGGACACTACCACATGATGCGTCACTTGAGGCGTGGTGGTCATTAATAAAGGGGAAGCTTAACTCGCTCTGTACTCGGTTCGTTCCCCTTAAGTATCCAAAAATCGGACCTGTCAAACCGCATTGGTTTGATAGGGAATACAGACAGTTAGCGCGACGACGTCGTAAACTTTGGGATAGATACATCAGCTCGGGTTGTGATGAAGATTACGCGGTGTACAGGAAACAGCGTAACTTATGTAACGCCGCAAAGATCAAGAAACGCCGGCAGTTCGAAGAGGAGCTAGCATCCTCGGCCACAACTGCACCCAAGCGAATATTTGCCTACTTGAAACGTCAACTGAAACCTGGAGACGACCTACCGGTCTTAGAGAGCTTAGACGGGAAGACACTCATTTCAAGCGCGGAGCGCGCGGACGCCCTGGCTACGCACTTCCTCACTGTATTTTCCAGTAAACCGGCGGCTGTTCCAGTACCGTCACAGGTTGCGCAAGTCTTGCTCGACAGCCTACAATGTGATGCAGTCGAAGTACATCAGCTACTCGTCAACCTCAATGGTGCAAAGCCCCCCGGGCCAGACGGACTTCACCCACTAATACTCAAGTCCCTATCGATTATCATCTCACCAGTTGTGACAAACCTTTTCAATAGATCGCTCTCTGAAGGATCCGTCCCGAACGACTGGAAATGCTCGATAGTTAAACCGCTTCCCAAGGGTGGTGATCCGAGTAAAATAGAGAACTATAGACCGATCTGTTTGATTTCGGTATTATCCAAAGTCCTCGAGAAGGTTGTGAAAAAGTGTCTGCTGTCGTTCTTCGAATCGATGGACATATTGACGCCAGCGCAACACGGCTTTACGAAAGGGCGATCCTGCATCACCAACTTGATGTACGCAAACCACCAGTGGGTTCGAGCTCTCAATGAACAGAAGGATGTTGACGTGGTGTACATCGACTTTAGTAAGGCGTTTGACAGAGTGAACCACGAGGTACTCCCTGGTAAACTGAGGACATGCGGAATCGGTGGCACGTTACTTCAGTGGATACAAGAGTTTATTGTGGGACGAAGATTTAGAGTACAGGTCAATGACTATCTGACAGACTGGTTCCCATCGACCAGTGGCGTGCCTCAAGGAACTGTACTTGGGCCAGCATTATTTCTTATTCATATCAACGATCTTCCGCAGCAGCTCCAGTCACCATGTGTCCTGTTTGCAGATGATTTAAAAATCTGGAGGATCATTGAGAACCAGGACGACTGCGCTCGCCTCCAGCATGACTTAGAGCGACTGTCAACGTGATCCACTGAAATGCAACTCCCTCTTAACGCAAGCAAGTCGGAGTTCATCAGTATCACCAGACGTCCAGCCACTCGATCATACACCTTGGGCGGCCAGTTGCTCCATCCCAACACATCTGTCAGAGACTTAGGAGTTCTCTCACGACATGATTTAAGATCACTAGAAAATACAGAGAAATTGTACCGTGCGGCACTTCGTATGCTCTGGGCCTTACGACGCAGTTTCTCCACATGGTCCGAAGAAACCGTCCCTCGTCTATTCACCTCGCTCATTAGACCAATACTTGAATACGGTGCCCCAGCTTACCATCCGATAACCCAATGGGAAACTGAAAAACTGGAGAAAATACAGCATATCGCAACTAGAATGATACCAAGTCTACGAAAATTTCCATATGAAAAACGTTGTGAAAAGCTCGGACTCTACACACTATCCTATCGCCGAGTAAGAATTGATCTTATTATGACCCATCGAGTACTACACTTGAATCACTTCCCCATACTGCGGCCAATATTTCACCTGCGAGAACCCTGTAACACCCGAGGACATCGTTACAAACTCAGGGTCCCCAGCATGAACAAAGTATCACATCAGCTTTGTATCGAACGAAGAATCGTAAACTTATGTATTACACTACCAGAAAGATTAATAGAGGCCGATTCTGTGAAGTGTTTTAAAACCCGTATAGACGATTATTTTGGAAACCTGTGCTTTTGTGAAACGATGCACATACAGTGCCAAAAGAAGACATTGTATGTCTGGAAATAATAACGCTAGTACAAATTTCTAACCGAACACGGATAAACGATTAACGGACCAGACACAACGGCTGATAATTCACAAGTAAATTTTGATTTTTCGTAATTCGATAGAGTTGTACAGAAACCTTTCTACTTGCTCTTAAATACAGTCTCAGTCTTAGTCTAATAGGTCCAAGGAGCAATCCGCTTTGCGTTCGTTTCTCCTCGTAGCCCTACGTGGATCCATCAATATATTCCGCCTGTAACTCCGTTTCTGTGCTTTTGTTAGATTCACTCAGTATGCAACGTTTTCCCCATTACTTCGGTATGTATTTTTCTTTCTATTTAAGGGGTCGATTCTCAGTGGCGAGGAGACTACCAAACGCTGGGCAGGTGTACTGGCCGCTATCCATTGTTCTACTCCGGAGAACGCAAGCGTAGCTCGCTTTTGGCAGGGCTCATTGAGTCAGTACTCACGCAAAAACACTTGTCATTCCCGCCGACATGCCTCCTCTTCGGCACACATGTCCAGGCGAGGTTCTTGCTGTTCTAGCAATGCAGATTTGACGGCAGCTATGACAGTCACTTCTCTGACAGATTAGGTTTTGTTTTACTTTTCTTTTGCATTCGCTTGCGCCCCCTGTTCCAGTTGCCCCCTATGTCGCTTCCAAATGTGTACTTTTTCCCTTCTGCATTTTCCCTTTATTCCCATCGAAGTATACCGCATATCGCCTATTTGCGTTGTGTTGTTCCGGTATATTTGGATCAAATTGCTTGCTTCTGAGTCCTCACTGTTTTGCTATGCAAGGGTAGGTCTTTTTTCCACCATGTGCAGCTGACATCCCTTGTGACCGCACGGTTCCTTCCCCGGCATCGTTCCGCGGCTGACAGTCCCCGTTGTAGCCCGTTCATTTGATTAACCTTGGCATGCGGCACACACCTTGTGAACCTAAGAGCCGATATCGGACTCAACATACCAGCCCCTGAAGGGCTTTACTTCTCTTAATGGATTGCTGTGTTTCGCTACTGGCCACATGGGTTCCCCACTTTGCTTCATATAGTCATCATCTCACCATCTTCCCCTTGGAAAAGTAGTCACTGATGGCTGCACTGTGTTTTGTCTGTCTCACTGCCTTAAACGCACTTGACAGCGGAAGATGGGCGCCATCATAAATCCTAGTTAGCCGAGGCAACTGCCACCTTCACCAGTGTTTCAGCGGTTTCAATAAGGTACACAAAATATGTGATACGGGCAAATGGAATGCGCTCTGCCGACCGGTACGCAAAAGACAAAATGAACGAATCGTTTGTTTTCGAAGGCATGATGGCCATCTGGCTGAATGTAGCTGTGATGGTTTAATACCGAAACTCCCTCACACAAGTAAGTAAAATACATTTGCTTACTGGAAGAAAACCTCACGACCGGTGTTAAATGACATAGACACAGTGGGCAAGTAGGACCTAATATCATACAATACGCGTTTCGCCCTATTGAAGCTCGTCAGTGGTGCGCATTCCCTCGATCCATTACTGGGGATCGAACTCATAACCGCTAGAGATAGATGCCAACTAACCAGCGGCTTAAGCCACTGAGCCATGGGGGACGTTGGCTCGGAAACATAATTTGCAAGCTAATCCATCACTATTGCTGGCCCGAACGGAAAGCAGGCTTCATAATGTTATACGAAGTAAAAGCAATTTATTTAAAAGTATACAAAAACAACTGCTGAAACAAAAATATCAAAAACCGCAAATCTTTTTCAACAACCTACTATTTCAGCAGAGTAGTCTGAATTCATCTATTCGCGTATTATTGTCTGCCGTTTACGTACAACTCATGGAATAGCTGGGTCGCATTTTTGACGTCATTGGTGAATCGATACCAGTCCAAGTTCATCTGACGCTGATCGGAATTCCGAACAGAATAATGTGTCTACCAATCTCACCAAAACCATGCGAGACTGAGGACGAACGCAGTCTGTTTGCCGACAGTGGGTTCCAGTCGCCTTATCGCCGAAGCAGGTGGGCGGCGATCTGTCGGTTGATTATTCTAAATGATTCACGTGGGACAGTTGTGTATGTGTCGGGCAATCGAACTAGCGGGAGGCTTTAGACTATTCGCGAACAGCTTGCGCGGAAAATACTCTAAAATCCCCTTGATCAGTCTCCTCTCAGTTTGTCGGATGTACTCGCTACCGCAAGTACAGTGAAACTGGTAGATGCATGAGACAATAAATCGACAGGCTGATCTATGTTGGATTTGAATAGTAACCCTCTAAGTTAATGCAAAACTACAAGCTCGGCAGCATAGTAACACTTTTGATTGACGGAACAATATCAGAGTCTCCTATCATTTTTGCAACGTGAAAATTGTCCTGCGGACCTTGGTCGCCCATTCTTTCCTGCTTTACGTTTTTGAGTGCTATGCTATGACATGTTCAGGACATCCGGTAGTCACCAGGTAAATGATACCGTCGTTGTACACACTGCCGATTAAGGGGAACACGTTTGTGTTCTAAACACTGACCACTCTGCGATCGAATTCATAGTTTAAAATGAATTTTCCGGTGTCTTCGATTTCTCAGATGTTAGCCTAAAAAATATAATGACGTTTGCACTATATTGTTGTGCGCAAACCTACTTGGACAAGACGGTAACTTAATTTCAACGGTTTATGTCATGATAATTGAAAACGAGCGTGAGCTCACTAGACCTTTTATGAAGAAACGTTTGAATGTGAGTCGTGACACGTCTCCCTGACATTACTGGAAAATGAAAATCCTGAGAAACTCATAACATGGCACACAAACACGAACGAGAGAACCAGCAAAGAACGAGCAACTAACTATCCTAGGAAAGTTTCCACAACAGTGCAAAAATGATAGGTGATTCTGATATCGTCCAGTCAACCAAAAGTGCTATTACGTTGCCGAACTTGTAGTTTTGCACCAATTTAGAAGGTCACTATTCAAATCCAACATAGACAGATCAGCCTGTCGATTTACCATCTGCATTTACCTGTTCGACTCTACTTGCGGTGGCCAGTACGTCAGACAAACTGAGAGGAGACTGACCAAGAGGGCTTTAGAGTATTTTCCGTGCAAGCTGTTTGCGAATAGTCTGAAGCCTCCCGCTAGTTCGATTGCCCGACACATACTCGACTGCCCCACGTGAAAACCCGTGTGAATCATTTAGAACAGGCATTCACAGCCTTCATTCTGCCGTGGCCCCCTTTTAAACTTTTTCATTTCTCATGGCCCCCACCCTTTTTCAACACAATTTCGGCAATCTGCACTACACAACAGACGAAAATCTGTGAGTTCCACTGGCTATATTGGTATATTTTTTGATGACTAAACTTTTAATGTTGGTATCACTGCTCTTTTCCTTAGCAACCTCCTTTTTTGACTTTCACAGGCTCAAGACACATTCATTGTACGGCAACATCAAGCCAAACGTTTGTACTTAAACAAAAGACACTAGTAATAGTTGCTTGTATTTATTTTTCTTAACTTTTAACTCTTGGTTATGTCATCTGTTAGGTGTAGTAACTCCGTAACAAAGATATTGATCTTTTTAATATTACTGCAAGCATTGAGCCTGATGTCTCTGATCATGCTTGCTTATGTCCGACCCCATGCTCGAAGATCTCATCATGTTCTGTTGTCCAGTCTGTTTATACTTTTTGTTAGAGAAACCACTCTGCTGATTCCACAATCAACCATGCATGCTGACGGAAAAGCAAGAAAAAAATATTTCCGCTATACCCCACAGTCTTGGCTATCTGTTAGGGACATCCGTCTTTATCCAACGATGCCATCTGTATTGCGTGAATTTGGATCTTGCTAGTGTCACTTTAAAGCTCCTTGAGACTTTCCTGGATTTTAACTCCAACATCGTTGGGCTGTACATCAAACGGATCTCAAATCCAAATTGGCATTTTCTTGTCAATCAGGTCATGAAACCTATCTTTCATTTCGTTTCGGAGCTGTTTTCAATAAATGATTTAAACAAGCAAGTCTTCATTCTTCAGCTCATCCGTGACTGTAGTTAGAATTGGGAACCGTGCAAATTCCCGACGTCCGATGTTTTGAGCATACACCTCCAGCTTTTTAAGAAATGCGATACTGGCTTCTTTGCTCGAAATGAGATAACCTGCCTTGAAGTTTTATTTAATAAGTTGGGTTTTTTTTAAAGCATCAGCCGGATAAAACACGTCTGGCTTAGCTGTTAACCTTCTTCCTTCAGATGATGGTGACCCAGAGTGCAATAAAACGGCGAAAACAGTTGATTTTGGAGAGCCATCCCACTTCTGTATGCGACAACAGGACCTGGAAATCTGCACTGCTCTCCTCGCACAATTGCTGGAGAAGGTCATATTGAAGAGGCTTCGATTTGATATTGTTGACTACTATTATAACAGTTGTGTGTGGATCGTTTAAGTACCCTCCCGCGTTCTTAGCCACCAGGTGCTCCCGCTGAATCACACAGTGAATTGTGTGCACAAAAGGGAGAGCAATTTTCAGATGGACAATAAATTCTTTATATCTTCCGACCATTGCGACAGCACTATCTGTTGTAAATGCAACTTTGTTCTGTTTGGGCTAGTTAAGCACATAGCTGGAGTGGGATTTTGTGATGATGCGATAACTCCAAATGACAGGTATTCCACGTAGTAGGGTAGGCCGGTGCAGATAGTAACACTTTTTACACTATCTACTATTTCTGTACTTTCTTGCCCCGTTTAATCTAAATTTGCCACACAGATGGACGATCAATCTACACAGTGAACCTTTGGCATTTTCTTCATATGGGGGTGTAAAAATGTGTGGAAACATTTGTGTAGGGTGACCCTCCCTTTTACTTTGTGCTCGGGTACCGGTGTAAGTTGTAAAATCGTATGGGGCAATTTGTAACAGGCTTAGTAGTAAAATAAAACTACACAAAAGCAGTAAAGTTACGATTTTATCATGGAAGCTAATCAGAATTACAATTTTGACAAACAAACAGAAAGTTTCGGCTACCAACATCTGTACATTGTACATGAGCCTAGAGTCCACAAGTTGAGCACTGGGTCCAGATCTCACTAGGGTAAATGTTACTGTAGCTTCTCCATGCATTATTCATCATCATCCAAACATGAATCAGAAGTTGTCCTATCTTTTCGCTTCTGTCTGTTCATGAAGAGTTTCCCATTTAATTTCTCCTGCCTTTATCTCTCTACTGGTCAAGTTGCTTTTTCCTTCCTAACAACATGCTTTTTACTGAGGTATCAAGGAGAACAGCACTTTTTAGCTTTCTGCGACTTTCCCCCACTTGTCTCTCTGTCTACATGTGGATATGGTAATAGTAATGCAGGACTAAATGTGTGCTCAACATTTGGTGGTCCAGCACCAGCTGAAGACAGTACTTTAGAGCGTGAAACAATAAGTGAACAATGTGTAGCTTCTGCGGTAGCTATCTTGACTGGTGCAACGTGGGTTGTATCAGGTAACTGTGTCAATTAAGAGCTGCTTTATTCTGTATCTGATACTGAAGAAGACGGTCTCTCATTTTCAGGCAATGGTATTTCAGAAAGCATAGAGGTAGCAAAGTCTGACTC